AAGCAATAAATAATAATTTATTTTTGATACAAATATTGTTTGTAGCAACAGTGCCTTGCTAATCCTACAAGTAATACCCCTGGCCACTTGGGGCTAGTTAAAACATGGGTGAAAATCCACCAGAAACGGAGAGGATAAAATATAAGTGAATTTATAATTGTTGGAAATGAAATCAGAAGCCATTCCTTTATATATATATTTTTTCCTTTTATTTCTTAACAACGTTCTTCTCTTTATTTTTACTTTCCTTTTTTCTTTAAATTTTAACTCTTCATGCTATCGATTCTTAAAATGAAAATGAATAATTAAAAAATCACTTTTAGTTCTCACCTAAACTGGACAATAAAGAAAAAAGAAATCTGAGCACAAGCCAATCCCAAATCTTCCCCATAGTGATATCAAACAAATGCCATGAAATCCACAAGAGCAAAGTTTTGGCTCAGAGAAATAACAGAATAACAGAGTTTGAAGGGACCTCGGAGATCTTCTAGCCCAACCCTCTGCTCAGGCAGGAAACCTTACACTATTTGAGATAAATGGTTGTCCGGTCTCTTCTTAAAAACCTCCATCGTTGGAGCATCCATGACTTCTGGAGGCAAGAAAGCAAGTCATTCCACTGATTAATAGTTGTCACTCTAAGGAAATTTCTCCTTAAGTTCCAGGTTGCCTCTCTCCTGGATTAATTTCCATCCATTGCTTCTTGTCCTGCCCTCAGCTCAAGTGCTTTGGAGAATAGCTTGACTCCCTCTTCTTTGTGGCAGCCCTCAAATATTGGAACACCGTTGTCATTTCACCCCTGGTCTTTCTTTTCATCAAACTAAAGGAGAATTGACTTTTCTTCAACCCAAATTTGGAGTTAAAAACAACAAAAGGAAGAGGTGTTTGAAAACCCTACTCGTTCCTTCCTATTAATACCACCTCATTCCTGGCTTCCACACTGACCCTTGCAATTTAAATAAAGAAATACGAATGCTTCATAGCATCCTATTTGTGGGCCATAATATTAATTTATAATAATAATGTGGAGTCCTTGGGACTCTCTCTGCTTGGTTGTTTGCGTGCAGATGTTTCATTGCCTGGTTAGGTAATATCTATCAGCAGTGCTAGTGAGCGTGCACAGAAAATATAATAACAATTCATTAAATCCTGTATGACCTCTGACTCTCAACAGATATGGTTGGCTCAGTAATCAATCAAAGAAATTACAGTAAAATCCATAAAAAATAAAGATAAAAATGGCAAGCAGAGCGAAGGGAGGGGTTTCCCCTGCCAAAGATGGGTGAATAATTGACAAAATGTCATCATTCTCATATGTGCCAAATTCTAGTCCTTGATATTCCTAGTTATTACAGTCAATAGAATTGGTAGAGGATCCATTTGGGAAAGATGCATTTGAGATACCTGAATGAAGAAGATTTGGGAAATTTCCCCCAGGATCAGAAGCAATAACAGTAACAGATTTGAAAGGGACCTTGGAGATCATCCAGTCCAACCCGGTCAGGTGCTTTGGTAAATAAGTTGGCCACCTCTTTTGTCTAGCAGCCGTTCAAGTATTGGAAGACTGCTATCACATCACCCTGATCCTTCTTTTCATAGACCAGACATACCCAATTCTTGCAACTGTTCTTCAAATGTTATAGCTTCTAGGCCCCTAATCATCCTGGTGACTCTTCTCTGCACTCTTTCCAGAGTCTCAACATCTTTTTTGTATTGGGGTGACCGAAATTGGATGCAGTATTCTAGGTGTGGCCTTACTAGGACTTTATAAAACAATACAGGGTAGTCCTTGTCTTACAACAGTTCATTTGGTGACCATTTGAAGTTACAACAGCAATTTTGAGCTCCGTTGTGGTTGTAAGTCAAGGACTCCCTATATTCTACATTTTATCCTATTGCTGTTATTTCTGTACCACTATATTGATTACTGTTACTATAACTATTATACTTAGCATACTCCATTACTATTCAGATACTACTACAATACTACACTCTACAGCAGGGGTGTCAAACTCAAGGTCTGCGGGTCAAATCCGGCCCTCAGGGTGCTTGGATCTGGCCTGAGAGGGTGGCCTGTAAACAGCACAGGACCAGCCCACGGTGCCTCTGCCGGTGAAAACAGATCCCCCCGCGCCCCGTTTTGGCTGGCAGGGGGCTGCAGAAGACCTCCATGGCCGAAAATGGGGCGTGGGGGGGCGTGCATGAGGCCCGCCCCAGGCTCCATTTTCACTGGCAGAGGGCTATCAAAACAAACTAAAAACAAAAGGAGAAAGGTTTCACCTTTTACCTTTGAGCAGTCAAGAAGGGACAGGAAAGGAGAAAAGGAAAGAGGAAAGACAAAGAAAAAGAAGGGAAGATGGGAAGAGAGCAAGGAAGAAAAAAGAAGGAAAGAGAGGAAGGAAGAAGAAAGGAGATGGAAGAGGGAAAGAAAAAGGAAGGAAGGAAAGAAGAAAGGGAAAGAAGAAAGATGAAGAAAAAGAAAGGAAGATGGGAAGAGAGCAAGGAAGGAAAAAGAAGGAAAGAGGGGAAGGAAGAAGAAAGGAGAATGAAGAGGGAAGGAAAAAGGAGAAAAGGAAGGGAACGGAAGGAAGGAAGGAGATTGCAATGAGAGAGAGGGAGGGTCTCAGGGAAGTCCTGCTTTTAGCACTTGGCCAGCACAGGTGCCTCTGACACGAGTCCCGTGTCACGCCCACCATGGCCACGCCCTCAGCTGTGGTCATACAGGACTTACAATCAGTCGTTTAACAACCATTCGAAGTTACACCGGGCCTCCCCGGGGCTGCTTACAACCCATTTCTAAATCCTACTCCTCCCGTGGGTCAGGTAATTGCATTTGGGGTGCTTGCCCCATCTATGGACATTTGTAGCATCCTGCAGTCACGTGACTGTGATTTATTATATTTATGATAGTGTTTACTTCTGGTTTCCAGCAAAAAAAAATCCTATTGGGTATATTGGTGACCTGCTTAATGACCTTCACAACTGACGATTGGCATTCTACTCATAAGTCAGGGACTAATTGTAATCCTCGATTTACAACCGTTCCTTTAATGACCTTCAAAGTTACAACCGCACTGCAAAATGTGACTTGCCACCATTTTTCGCAGTTAATGACCTTTGCAGCCTCCCCATGATCACTTGATCAAAATTCAGATCGCTTGGCAACTGGTTCATACTTATGACCATTGTTGTGTCCCAAGGTCATGGGATCCCCTTTTGTGACCTGATAAGCCAAGTCAATAGGGAAAGTTGACTCACTGAACAACCCAGTTACTAGCTGATCGAGCCCAGTGATCGACTTCAAAACAGGAGCAAGGAAGGTCGTAAAACGGGACAAAACTCACTCAGCAAATGTCTCCCTTAACAACCGAAATTTTGGGCTCCATTGTGGTCGTAAGTCGAGGACTACTTGTACATTAATACTCACTTATTTTTCTGACCTCCTAATAGCAACCTCTTGAATAGCATTCGGCCACCGGATCAGTCTGCAGCGTCTCATGTTCTCCGAAATGGAAACCTCATTGCAATTTAACGTGGTTTTCCGTTTTTTCCCCCCCGGTGGGCAGATATTCCACATGACGTATGACCTGGCTAGCGCTGTGATGCGAATCATCAACCTCATCGGGATGATGCTCCTTCTTTGCCACTGGGATGGCTGCCTCCAGTTCCTCGTTCCGATGCTGCAGGATTTCCCTACTGACTGCTGGGTCTACATCAATGGCATGGTGGTAAGCCAGAAGGAAACAGGAAGAGGGGCCCACTGATCACTCCAGGGAGCCTCCTCCTTCTTCCTCCTCCTCCTCTTCCTCCTCCTCTTCTTCTTTTCCTTCTCCTTCCTCCTCCTCCTCTTCTTTTTCTTCTCCTTCCTCCTCCTCTTCTTCTTTTCCTTCTCCTTCCTCTTCC